TGCCTCCAGGGAAAATGAATAAAAAATGGGGAAAATGCTGTGCTCATTTTTTATATTTTTTTGTAAAAATGTCTCACATACATATATAGCTCTGCCTTACCTGATCTCACCTTTCCTTGATTTGGCGGGAAAATGTATTTTTTACTAATGCTATGAATTTTGATGGTGTTATTTTTATTATAAATATTATAATTACTATAATGTTAAAAACAATAGTAATAGCAATATAAGTCAATGTAAAATATTTTTGTATATCAAAGAAAAGGGTAAATGGGTGAGACAGGCAGTACTCGTAATTGGCTCATTGGTGACTAAGTACAAGTGTAGCCATCTGTGTGAAAAAACAATTAATGAAGCAAACTCAAAGTGGGCAATGGGTTAATATTAATATTAATAATAATAATAATGATAATAATAGTATCAATAATAATAATTATAGTATCAATAATAATAATTATAATAATAATAATAATAATAACATAATAATAATCAATAATAATAATAACAATAATAATAATTATTATAATAATAGTAATAATAATAACAATAATAATAACAATAATAATGATAATAACAATAATAACAGTAATAATGATAACAATAACAATAACGATAACAACTATGAAAATGATAACCGGTTAAATACATCTTTTGGATTGGTAAAGATATTAATTTTCATTCATAAACTTTCTACATTTGTCAACATGAATACAGTTCAAAAATAATATATATATATAAATATAAACAAAGAGAGAGAGAGAGAGAGAGAGAGAGAGCGAGAGAGAGCGAGAGAGAGCGAGAGAGAGCGAGAGAGAGCGAGAGAGAGCGAGAGAGAGCGAGAGAGAGCGAGAGAGAGCGAGAGAGAGCGAGAGAGAGAGAGCGAGAGAGCGAGAGAGCGAGAGAGCGAGAGAGCGAGAGAGCGAGAGCGAGAGCGAGAGCGAGAGCGAGAGCGAGAGAGAGAGAGAGAGAGAGAGAGAGAGAGAGAGAGAGAGAGAGAGAGAGAGAGAGAGAGAGAGAGAGAAACATACCACAAGAATGATTGCATTTTCCAACGTAACACCATAGTTTTTCATCAATTGCTGCCTCTTTTCCTCTGGCAGTTCAGGTAGTTCTTGGCGGACTGCATTAATGTCAAGGGAGCCATTCTGACGGCCACTTCCTTCTGAAGAGTCAAAGAGCCGTAAAGGTGGTAGATTGGGTTCATGCATGAATCTGTAATCCTGAAAGTTAGAAGTAAGAAGTGAGTTAAGGGGAAAAAAATTTATTGAAATTGAAGTAAAGACATTTTAGAGTAGAAACTATCCTTACATATAAATAAACAATACAGAATTTTAAGTAGATTGTATACATGCATATAATAAAAGGCACATAAATTAGTAAAAAATAATATTAATTATTTACCTGAACAACCTCCTTGTCTCTCATGGTAATGGTTTCCCTTCTGTCTGCATCGAAGCTCCTGGTTTCATTAGTTATAACCCCACCAGACTCCAAAATCCCTATCTGCCTTTCAATCTCAAAATCAATTGCCCTAACCTGTAGGAGACACATTAAAAAACTTATAATAAAATAACCCCATAATCAATATGATAATTCTAAAATTCCAAATCTTCCAGCTATATATAAGAATTATTTCACAAAATGAATCAACATGAAGGAGATTTCAACAGTTCTTAAAGAAGTATTACTAATGATCGGATGGAATTCAAGTTTTTAACTTCTGTGCGAGTGCCAAGAGGTTCCCCAGGCCTGTGTACAGAGATGTTAGCATCTACACGCAAGGAACCCTCTGTAAGATAAAGAATTACTCATGATAAAAGATGTTAGTTCATGAATGACTATGATATGACTGAGTATTAATATCTTATCATAGCTAAGGTATCTGAAAATATAAAAATAATATTTTCAGAAAACATATCCATAAGAGCACATAACTCTTCCAAAGTAAATATATTTTCAAATTTCTGAACTTACTTACAGCCACAATGAAATCCTAATTTGTACACAGTAAATTATTTTAGTTTATCTTTTAAGCATGATTAGGCCTACACTCTGTAGAAGCAATGCATCCAGAATATGAAAGAGTATAAAAGTAGAACCCACCTTCCATGCGACAATTACAGGTGCCCAATTGAAGCAAAATTAGGCTTAATTCTTTGACGAGTGCAGCAGCCTCTTCACCATCACGCAGATCTGGAGCAAATACCAGTTCCATCAGAGGCTGGCCTGCACGATTCAAGTCCACAAGAACTCTGGAAAAAAAATCTTTATTTTCTTCCATATTTTTTGCTAGTATTTCTATCAAAAACTTCTTGAGTTACATATTGAAAAGAAGAATGCTAAACAGTTGTTCACTTGTTTTGTCCTGGCTACAGTCACTGAGGAGAAACAGCACCTCAAAAGTTGGCTTAACACACTATTACCGGATGGCATTTATACATGCCATATCCACTGCCTCTTTTTGTTTGTCTTTACACATAGATGACTCCACAAATGTTTAATTTCCAAGGGGTCAATTATTAGTCCTACCTGGTTCCTTGATTTTCAGATCTTTTTTTTCATAATTTATTGCTAATAGTATTTTTAAAAACATTAAGCTATCAAAATGTCAATAATGATAATATCAACATTAATATTAACCCATTGCCGCCAGGGAAAATGAACAGAAAATGGGGGAAATGCAGTACTCATTTTTTATATTTTTGTGAAATATATCTGTCCATAGATGGCTCTGCTAGTCCTGATTTCACCTTTCCTTGAATTGGCAGGAAAAAACGTATTTTTACTAGTGTTATAAATATAGATGGTGTTATTTTTAACAGCAAATTAGGATAACGTTTAATATTTTCGTAAATCAATGAAATGGGTGAACAGGCGAGACAGGCAGTACTCGTAATTGGCTCATTGGATACTTAGTACAAGTGTAGCCATCTATGTGTAAAAACAATCAAACAAGTTGACTCACAGTGAGCATGGCATGTACGTACATGCCATCCCCGGCGGCAATGGGTTAATCAATCCCAATGGGTAACTCCAAGTGAAAAACACCCTCTTTTCTGGGTGGTAGCTATAGCAGTGAGTGCCTTCTACCACGGAACCACTTGTGAGGTACACACTGTAGCCCCAATCTGAGCACACTCTTAATTTTCTGGTGTGTCAATGGTGAGATGCCCATGTTATGTTAACCCCTTGGTGCCGGGTGACGCCGATCGGCGTGTACACAAAGAGCTCGAAAGCTGGCGTGCAGCCGAACGAGCCAGCGGCGCGCCAAAACGCGGCGAGCCAGTGATTCGGGCTGATGTCCCCTACTCACGCGCTCAAAGTCGGCTCGCCGCCTTTGTTTGTTTAAGCGTAGAGTTTTTTTTTTCTTTTGTACACCCGACGCCATTGGGTTAATAACAATAGAAAAAAAAAAATCCTAAAACTCAGCGAAGAAAGAAATCAGCCGAAGACACATAAGCTCACTAGGTGAATCATTGGTGGCTGATAACTTGTGGAGCCATCTACATACAAACTATATTCACAAAAGAAAAAGATTACCCTAACTTCATTTCCTAAACCATCATTTATACCACAGCCAAGAGAGTAGAGAGTGAGGTAAATAAACATTTCCCACCTTTTTAATTTCTGAATTTGCCAGCTGACTGTGCTAGATACCCAGGCCATAGCTCACTACAATGCCAAGAAATCCCATTACGTGTAGGTTAATGTAAGGAGGTAAAAATGCTCTTGGAGAATGATGAACGTTTTTCATGCTTTTCCTTGCTTCCTTGTTCTTTAAACTTGCCTTGAACTTTTCATCCCCTCCCTTGCTTTTTACAATGTCACAAAAATCATTCTACAAATATAACTGTAAGAAATATCAAGTTGTAATCTTTGTAACTTTACAAATTAGTGTAACTATACTAAATATTCCATGCTGATCGAGTACTGCAGAGACTGGGCCATATGCTTTTAGACTTATGCTGAATTTTGTATATGCCCAGAAAAAATTGTTAATGGTTAATGGTTAATAGAAAAATAAATGCGACACACATCTATGCCCAGAAAAAAAAGTATCAAATTCTTAAAAAAATATGTAAGTTATCACACTGTCTTTTTACTAAATGTAATCTTCCTTAGGCCATAAAAGTTCAGTAAATGAAGCTCTCTCTATTCACCTATGATTCTCCTTGTCGTGGATACTTTTGCCACTGTCTTCCTCTAGCTGAATCTGAATAAGCTTCACAGAGTGCCTGTACGGTTTACGATGCACTGCAGCATTATAAACAATGAAGTCAAGGTGCCCATCACTGGCTATAGGGTGGTCCAATTGAGTGATCTGATAGCCAGCCTGGAGAGATTGAGATCGCTATAAATTCTAGCACATTTATCTCATGATTTTCTTATAGCACTGAAAAAAACATATATACAGCTTACATCAGTGAAATATTCAGAAAAACTATCACAGGTAATATCAGTTTATGTAAACAGAATTGCAAAATGTCAGCATTAAGAAAACCTACAGGCAGATCTGGGTAAAAGTAATGCTTTCTGACAAACCAAGAAGTTTTGTTGACTGTTGCTTGAAGTGCTAAAGCAGTTTTTATAGCTGCCTCAACACATCTTTTATTCAAGACCTGTAAAATTACAACAAAAACATTTACAAAAAAAACATTACATCAATATGATCTATCAACACGAATATTGTTTCTCATGTAAAAAAAATAATAATAATAAAAAAAAAAAATGTGAAACTTATTTTTACTTGCTACTGAGTACTTAGCATAATCACTTTTTATCACTTTTATTTATTTTCCATTTTCATGAAATAATTTGTCACTGCACGTCCTACTTTAATAACTAAACTCTGGTTTTCTGACAAGCCAACTGTGAAAAAGCAGAGACCATCACTTCTATTGTCCATGGATTAACAATATCAATAGAATGAACAAACTGAATATCATATTATGAAAAAAGTCAAGTAATTTCCTATCTTAACTTACTGGTAAGGTTCCAGGATGAGCTGATTCAAATACTCCAACCTGACTATTCGGAGGAGCACCAAACCTTGTTCCAACTCGAGAAAACAATTTACTTGTTGACGATATTTGAGCATGAATCTCGAGGCCAATCACTGGCTGCCAAATGTCTCTGAGGAAGGAATCATAGTTTTGATAAAAGACTTTAGAAAACTATTGTCTTTGTATCTCAGTGAGAATATTCTTTATTATCAAAAACAATAAAGTTCTTCAGGACTGACAAAACTATATCTTAAAAGCTGAGAGACAGGAGTCATTATGTATTACTACTAACCAACAGTGCAGTAGCTTTAAATAGAATAAGGAAAATAGCTCTTACAATGAAGAAATATCTAATCTAGACACCTAAAAAAGAAAATACAAATGTAGATATACTAGCATAAACCGTGTGTATATTACTAATATCCAGACCAATATAGAAAATATCAAAATGCAATACACAAAAGAGGAATAAAGATAGCAGACCCTGTCAAGCAAATTGTTATAAAACAGCAAAAACTGAAGTAATACCCTATGCATACCCTAGTCAAAGAAATGTAAAGAAAAGAAAAAAATTACAAACCATAAAAACCTGGTCATATCAAATACAATTTTAGACTAACTATTATGAACCCACATAGAGTACAATGCTGCTAAATGGCTAAAAAGTCAGTATGTATAAAAAGTACAAGGAACTAACCACAAGAGAAAAAAATAATCAATAAGGACAAAAATAACCACAAGTATTAATATCTAAATATAACAAATTACATTAGAAAGTTGCAGAAAATGTTTTATGAACAAGAATATGAACTTTAAACTGTTTATTCCCAAAATATATCTTAAATGAATTCAGCTGATTGGGCAATAAGGATATGTGATGAAAGTGAACAAAACACTTTCTATACCAGAGAGTCAAAAATACAAAAGATATGTCACCAGAAAAGAAAGATATGTGATGAAATCAAACAAAAACATTAAAAAATCACTAGCATTTCTAAAGCAGAGTACCAGTTTCAACTATGAAACACAAAAGTTATAAGTCAATGAAAAAATACTATACAAAAAAAATGTGTTTAACTGCCACTAGTACCTTTGCAGGACATATAATGATCAAATATATTATATGTAACACTATCTAAACAGCTCTAAGGGATAAAAATCTGAGAAAAATAAGGTACAGAAATGGAAAACCAAGAAACTGTCAAAACAAATGTAATCCACGATACTAATTAGGCTACAACAAAAGAATTACACAAGGATTACATTTTTTTTAATTTAGATATTTCTCATCAAAGTATCCTGTTAAAAAATGTATACATGATTCAGAAGACATACTTGAAAATAACTGTAATTACCTTATGAGTCCTGGTCTAATTTGTGCAGTGCCATAATGACGAAGGAAATTCCCTAGTGTTTTGTGAACTCTCCAATGAAGTCTCATTGTTGCAGCCAATTCTGTAAATAAACTGTGTATCAGTATATGAAATTCAAAATACAAACCTGTCATACCTAGTCAAGATTTCTTCTACTTTGTTATACTTAAAATTAAATATTTATATCTTAGTTAGTCTGGCTGTGTTCTACCTAAATCCATTTGCTGTCATCTGTGATAGAAGACCCACACTCTTAAGCTCAGTATAAGTACATAGTTAAGCAATTGCCAAAGCTTCAGCACTATTCTCAAGAATCAAACTTCCACCACAGATACTCTAACAAAACAGTTTGCATAGTAACTCGGGACTAAGCGTGTAGAGAGGGATGTTTACCATACAGAGTCACTGCCTTAACTGGGTCATAATATCACCCACAAGGCTTATCAGTTGGACCTGTACTGGCTCTATCTTGCTAGTTTGATGTGGTTAAGATTTTGCATTCCTGGCAGGGGATTTGGGGTGGCAGCCCTATCTAGAAGGTTCAATACTCGCTACCACCGAGTGGCTAGGAGAATCACTTCACAAGTTATCACACAAAGCTTGGCAATTTATGCCGATGCAAACAAGTGGCTTCACTACTTTGTCCTTGACACTGCCTCCCTCCACAGTCCTATAAACTCTTACAGTAACAGGGCACCAGTTATTGAGAGTGGCATGGTTATGCCATATTCTGCAGGCTTCCTAAATGAATATAGTAATGTTACCTAATCAGTGTAGAACCATCTTTTCAAGTAGCAAAAAGGTGCTCTATAATGAACTGTGTTAATATTAGTTTATAGTTATCCAATGTAATTACCATTATGCAGAAACATAAGTGTGGTAGGAAAAGTACATTCGAGTACCTTGCTAAATGATTAACCACTTCATAATAAGTATGTAATATTCCCTGATATTTAATTATGTCTTGACTATAAGTATCATTTTATTGTTCACTTAAATAATTTCATTCTTTCACATTATGAATATTGGAACTTTTGCAGCCAAAGGACAATTCTGGCCTAAACAGTTAATCATATGTAGGGAATCAGAGGTTGAAGCAAGTGGGTACATATACCCAGCTTCCT